TTATACCAGTATAAAACACTTAATAGTGGTATAGGTTCTTAGGCATTGCCAAACTGGAATAGGTTTTGCTAGAATAAGCTATTTTATACCAATATACATGTATTTGCACTTGAGGGTCTATGCTGCTTTAACCATGTAGTCCACATATATTTGAACTGAAATCAGTCTTTCCATTATCTCATGGAGGTTTCAAAACTCACCGTAGAGGTAATGATATAGACATCGATTGCTCACATCTGGTTCTTCAGTGTCTTTGGTGTACACACACAACACACAGCATGCATAGCACTTCCTGCATAGATTCCCACACTGCTGTTGTGTTTAGGTAGGAGGTCGGATCTGGTTATCTCAACAGGAAACAAGTGTCAATTGAAAACTCCTTTACAGAGTCACTACCATGTTTCATTTTTTATCAGTATTTAGTTTATACAAATTATTAAATTATGAACGATATTGCTCTGTTGGTTACATTGGTTTAAAAGGCTCTGAATGATCACCTCTTACTTAATTTTATGGCTATTTAGTGTACATCAACATTTTATTTTATAAGGTATGATAACTTACACATTTGAAATTAAAATATCAGGTTTATGAAATAGCATTTATTTAGGTACAAATGAAATTATAATTTTCAAAACGTGTCATGATTATTAATAGGAAGTATATCTAGGCTTCTATTTCATATGATTATCCACTTCCTCTTATGTACCTCTAAATGAAGACTAGATAAAGTTGCTTACTAGGAAAAGTGTAACTGTATGTGTTATCTTCTCCTTTCCTGTTACTATAGTGATGGAGCTTACATTGGTAAATTATTTGAAAGGGTATTAGTGTCACTGTAGCAGAATTCTTTCTATACAAAATGCCTCCTGGAGCCATCAGCCACCACTTTCTTTGCCCTTGGCTACATTGGCAATTCACAGCGCTGCACTTGCTGCACTCGGGTGTGAAAAAACCACCCCCCCCCCCCCCGAGCGCAGCGAGTGCAGCGCTGTAAAGCGCCAGTGTAATCAGCGCCTGCAGTGCTGCACGCTCGCTCGCAGCGCTGCAAGCTATTCCCCTCAGAGAGGGGAATAGCTCGCGCTCGCGGCAGCGCTGTGAATCCGCGAGTGTAGCCAATGCCTTAGTCACCAGCTGATTAGTTTGTCAGGTATTATTTAAGCTTTAATGGTCTAATTTCAGGATGTTGAAAATTAAGGTAATGTTCGGAATAATTACATTTGATGGGTTTGGATGGCTGACATAAGAAAATTTGTTTTTAAATAACGAGTTTAAACCTAATCCTGTTTGGGGAAGATGGCTTGGGACTAGATTATTCAATGGACTGTTCAGATATGGAGCCCTCAATGTCCTGTCTCAAGATAATAGTGGCCTAACCAGATTATCTGATGTGTGGTGTTACGTGGTCTGTTTAGTTTCTACAGTACGCATGCCCACGTAACCAAAAAAAAAAAGCAGCATGTTCACCACATTAGCACTAATTGGAACCTTTGTTAGCCTTGACAGAGAGGCCAAGTATTGATTGTCCATAGAATACTAAAAAATAAGCTTCCATCTCTAGAGGTGGTCCTTGCAGGTTAGGGTGAAGCCTGCTGGTAGACTGCAGTGTGGGAAGTTGTTGCTTAATATTTGTTATGTGCTGACAATGTGCTGCTGGCTGTGTAAAAACACAAAATGAAGACTGTCGCTGTCCTGCAGAGCTTTACAGTCCTACAAGACCGACACAGAAGCTGGGAAGCCGAGAGGAGGAAATAGTTCACATAGTGTTTTCTGTTGCTAATAAATATATTTGAGGGATATTTAACCCACAGGGTATTTTACATATCGTCCTCCCCTCCTATCTCTGCTGCCAAGGGTGGGTGCTCAGGCTGGGGCCTGTGTTGAGAGGGTATTGGGCATCAGGAATAGTCTGCTCAAGCTATTGCATGGGGCTTAACAACACCAACTGGAGAAAACACCTCCAGCCAATAACCTGAGACCTTGAGGCACTTTGGCACCTTCCCTCTACCCAGTACAAGTAGCTGCTTTCAGCTGCTGGCCAGGCTGCATGATGGGGAGTGGGATCTGAAGCTGCCTTTACATCAGACAGCTTGGAAAGTCCACCATGTAGTAACCTCTGTGTTGGGTAGTTCTGCTGCTCTGTGTACCAGTGCCCTATCTGCTCCTGCTGCCTGATTCCTGTGAAGTTCCTTGGCTACTGCTTGAGGGAAGAGGCTTCTCAGGAGCTGGAGTGCTAGGGGGAAGCCGATGTGAAGTGTATGGTGCTCTGTCTGGCGAGGGAAAACTAGCCCAGGAGAATGCTCTGTGCTCTCTCTCCGCATACGCATCCCCAGAGCATTTCTGCTTTCTGTACCGAGTCCTTTTTGTTAAGTATAGGACTTTGATTTTCAGGCCTATCAATCCATCGCTTTTCAAGAGCACTAAATTCACACAGTTTCTTAATTCTGTTTTTAATTTCTTTAAATGTTTTCTTTTTTATGGTAATGAACGCTATAAAAGGGGACTTCAAAGAACCCCAAAAGAACCTCCTCTTTATTTGGATCATATTCAGTTTAAAGGTAGTGGTTCTGGCTGCTTTAAGGTTTTCTGCAGGGTTAATCTTTTGCTTTATTGTCAGACCACCAAGATTTTTAGATGCGATTAAGGATTTTGAATGCAATTTGGGGGGGCCCAACTTTTGAGACACCATAATGGTACCTGATTTTTTCAGAAAGTGCTGAGTACCTGCCTTCTGAAAATTGGGTCCCATTTAGTGTTTTAAATTGGCTATCCAAAATCACTAATAACTTTTGGAAAAACTTGGCCTGAAATATTACCAGAATATGTACACACAAACTTTACCCAGAGTGATTTGAACACCCAATCAGCTGTTACTGTGCTAACCTCAGCATCAGAGGATCCTAACCACAAATTGTGTCAAGCTACTCTTGTGAGAGTGATAGTTAAACTGAAAAGGATGATAAATGGATTTTTAAATGTTTAAAAAACCCAGATACCGCCTCCTAATTTTGTAAGGCTATATTTTCCTTAATATTTTGCAGCATTGGCCAGAGAGGCCTTAGAGTACTTCTAGAGCTTTCCTGCTGTGTAATTAGGAAAGAGACTTAGAGCTTGCACTGCATTGGCTAGTAAGGTTGGTGGGAGATATAGGTGATGCTGGTAATTCTTTATTGAGCAATGTATTTTTTCCCTGTGGCAAAGAGTAAAATAGTTTTCCTCCTTAGATCAAAATAACTTTGGGTCTTATTTGGTTTGATTATTTGAAAATTGCCTTGATGGTATTTGATTATAAATATCGGAGTTACAATATTAAAATATTTTTTCATTTCTGGTCAGTTAGTTACCTTATGATTTCCTAGCTCACAATGAAGAGAAAAATCCCCTAAATAATGAGAACTTTAGGGAATAATCAAGGATTAGTAAATCTTTCAAAGCACTCTTCGTATGCAAGTGTAGCTTCAAATTCTGATTTATACACAAAACTTTCTGCTTTACATATACTTCAAATTTATTTTTCTTGGATTCAGATTTTAAAAGGACACTGATTTCTAGAGGTAACCTAATGAAATTCTATTTGATTAGAGGTAGAATACCATTTTTTTTTAAAAAAAAAAAAAACCTCTTGAATGCAATAAACTTTGATGTTGTAGACTTTTTATTGAGTCAAATGGTTTTTTAATAAGTAGCATTGTAACCCTAAAATCTATTCAAGATAGCTATCCCTTCAAAATAAGACACAGTTAGTTAACTATGGTAACATCAACTCCTTGACTGTTACCAGTGACTTCCACTGTAATGGAAAGAGAAGAAAAGGGGGGGAAATTGTCTAAAGCAGCAGAGAATTAAATTGAAATTAACCTCTGTTTGGAATTGATATCTCGCTTTTTTTTTTTTTTTTTCTTTCAAGACAACAATCTTTTTTTTTTTTTTTTTTTTTTTTTTTTGGCATGTAGCATTTAGTAAATAG